TGTGTGTGTGTGCAGTGAGTGCAGTGAGACCAGTGTTTGTGTGCAGTGTTTGCAGTGAGACCAGTGTGTGTGTGTGGAGTTTAGGCAGTGTGTGCAGTGAGATCAGTGTATGTGGTGTGTGCAGTGAGACCAGGATTTTCAGGGTGTATGGTTTGTGCAGTGTGTGCAGTGTCTGCAGTGTGTGTAGTGTGTGCAGTGTGGTCATTGTGTTCAGTGTGCATTGTCTTCATTGTGTGCAACGTGGTTGGTGCGTGTAGTGTGTTCATTGTGTGCAGTGTGCTCAGTGTGTGCAGTGTCTACAGTGTGTTTAGTGTGGTCAGTGTATGCAGTGTGCCTGGTGTTTGGCATGGTCACTCACTGGCTCTGGAGGATCTCAGTCCAGCGTTGCAACTTGAGAACATCCTCCACCAGCTCAGGGTACCGACTCAGCTCCTGGGCAGCACACAAGTACAGCTCCTGGGTGGACCGAGTGGAAAGAGTGGGGTGAGGGGAAGAGAGAGGACTAGAGTTTGTTCAGAAAGCCACTGTCGTGAGCTTTGCACCTGGTACGTCAAAGGAAAAGGAAAACTGTGTTTGAAAAGCAAGCAGAGTGTTTCCAGTGGCTGCAGATAAGAGCCAGCTGAGTCAGTTCCTTCATTAAAAGACGTCATTTTTCTTTGCCAGAAACAACAATTACGACCAGATGCAGGGGAGATGATAAACAGTCTGCCGAGCATCAATACCTTGTAAATCGTTTTTTTAATACACTGCAGTCAAGGTCAGCAGTGCTTGGAATTATCCACAGGCCCAATACTACGACACCTACTGTATGTAACTCGATCAAATACTCCTGCACGCTGCTGCATGAGCCAAACAAAATAACCCTGATGTGAAGTGGAGGGGCAGAAGTCAGAGCAGAGCTGCAGAAACACACCACAGCTTGTGACAGCCCTCTTCCTGATGTGCGCCCCTTGGGAAGTGTTCAAGAAGATGTGTCTGAGGGCAGGTGCACTCTGCCCGGTAGAGGCCAGAGACACCTGCACGCCTTTTCACGTGACCTCTCCAGCCTGCAGCTGCAATTCTTGTATCATGACTGATTCTATTTAGCGCAAGGGCAAGGCCAACACGAAATTCAACACGCAGCCCGTCTCATGCCCCGCAGGCAGCCGCAGGAGGGAAGTCTGCCACCTGCTGGACGCTTCTGCCTCTGGACAATCCCTCTGCCCCGATGGCACGTGGGGGCGAGAGGGGCCGGCGTGGCCCTGCGGTACCTTGGGGAAGCAGTGGGAGCGCTCGCCCTCCTCCTGCAGGAGCTCGCGGTAGGTGTCCAGGTAGCGGAACGCCACGCTCAGGACCGCCTGCTTCCGGTCCGCCCCGTCCCAGCCCTGCCAGCCCTCGCTCGGCTTCCTGTCGGCGCGGAACCTGGGGTCAGGAGGTCAAGGAGAGCCCGGCAGCAGCTGAGAACTCACAGACGCGCTCCAGACACGCACGCACGCACGCACAAGCAGAGTGCTCAGTGCAGAAGGGGAAAACCAGACACTTGGCCGTAATGACACGACCAGATGCTCGCTGTTGTGCACGGAAAGTTTCGGGTGAGAGGGGGGCTCTTCCTTTGAGGCAACGTTATTCGCCAGCCCGCGCAGCCGAATGAGTGAACTCGTACGGGAACGCTAACCTGCTGGAGGAGCGAAGATGCCAGGGTGTGCTTGGCCCTGCAGGAGCACAGTCGACACCCTCTGGACAAAGGAAACAAACACTGAGACGGTTTCCCATGAATGCTGGGATGCCATGGACACAGCTGCTCAGCACACTGGCGCTGGGGTCCCCAGGCCAGCCCTGATCTCCCCCCCCAACCACCCCCACCCCCACCCTCACCCCCTGAACCTGTAGATACCCAAAGGGGGCACTCAGCCCCCCCTCACAGCCAGCGCGGGTAGCCGCCCTGACCTGGACTCCCTCCAGCTCTGCATCTCCGCGTGCCAGGCCAGGGGGAGGAGGAGGAGGAGGCTGTACTGTAAAGAGGGGAATTTTTGTCAGGGTGGTGGAGGGGAGGCTGTAGCTTTGTTTTCATTCCTAGCAGGAAGCGAACACGTTTCCACAACAGAAGGTTTAATTATCTTGGATTAAACGGAGGAGAGGGAAAATTGTGAAAGGATCTCTTGCCAGGACAATTAACACAAACACACCAACACCACGCAACACTCCCAGATAAAACGCTCTGATGTACAACCTGAAAAATACTCCCCCCCCCCCGCGACACACTCTGATGCTCTGGCAGCGGTGCCTGGGTGTGGCATTCTGGGAAGGATACTGTTCTAGGAGGACTTGCTGCAACTTGTCCGCAGGGAGGAAGATGGGATGAGTGAGCATGAAGTCATCCAGCAGGGTCTCTGAAAGACAAGAGTGCAGCAGCGTCACTGGGGCAGGCATGGACCTGCGCCACAGGCCGACAGAACACACAGAGACACCCGCAAGGCGCTGCAGCACCCAGACACACAAGATTCCTGCCTGGGACAGGATATTCACCCAGGTGAAGCCTCTCTCAGCCCTTCCTGCAGCCCCGCCTCCTGAGATCATCAGGGCACTTTAGCAATGCGAAGAAATGAAGAATTACTCATTCCTTATCACGATCAATAAATAACAATCAATCAAAGCGCTAATCAATAGAGCTCGGGAAAAGACCTGCTTAATTATCATAACGATCCTCCTTTCCTGGCAAAAGCGAGGCCAGAATTGCAGCACCAGCCCGGAATTCCAAACTCCGATGTCATTCCCCACTCAGTACTCAGCCAGTTTCGGCTGCTCCACTTCCCCATTCCGAGCGGCTCCCAGAGCTCGGAGTTCCTGCAGGCCGGCTCCTGTCACACCAGTCTGACAGCTCTCCCAGTCCCTCGCGGGTGATTCTGAAACAGGGCCTCCGGAGCTAACGCTCAGGTCAATGAGGTAACTGCACACTGGGGGCCCAGCTGCTCTGGAGCACAGGGGCTGAGCCCCACGGTTCTGGAGCACAGGCCGATTGACCCTCTCTCCTTGTTCTGAACCGCTTGGCTTCGCTGATCCAGCAGATCCAGGCACGAGCAAATCTTTCTGGAACCTCTCCTTCGTGCCGAACCCTGTCCTGTTTCTGCCTTGTTTCCAGAGCGGCGCAGTGTCTCCTGCTGAAGCTTAGAAGAATCCTGAGTGAGGCGCCAGCTGGGTGGTGGGGGTTACCTGAGCTTCGCTCTCCCGGTTCCACAGGCAGGGTGTTTCTACACTAACGCTCTTTAAAAGGGAGAAAGCTGAAATTTTAAAGTGGCCGTATTAGAATTCGTCTTTGGTTGCAGACACCCACCACTCTTTGTGTAAAGACGTGCCTTTTGGCTTTCAGTCTTACAAGCGGCTTCCACTGGTAAGAGAGGAAAAGACGCTAGAAATGGGGTGAGACCTGCCTGGGTTAAGCATTCACAGGGGTCTTCGACAGAGGGGGGGGGGGGGTCTGGAGGGAGGGGGTCTGGGTGCCAGGGCCGAGCACACAGGAGGAGGAGGCCGGCTCAGACGGACAGACAACAGCGTTTCCCAGGTTTTAAAAACCGCAGGGAGTCGTCCATACCTACGGGGCATCACCGAAATGGGGTCCCTGCCCATCCCCCACTTCATCTCCCCCACCCACCCCAACTCCAGCAGAAGCACCCAGGGGTCCAGCAACACTTCCATCCAAACAATTAGCTTTCTAAGGGGGCACGTCACCCCCCTCGTTTGTGGGCGCCAGTCCTGCCCTCACCCTCGCACCCTCACGGCGACCCCTCACCCCCGGGACCGCCCCCTGGAGCCAGGGGACCCGTCTGTTTGTGTAACGCTGTGTTCCCTCTCCTGTCTCGCAGGCATCAGCCCACGCGATAAAGACACCGATCAGACACAACACAGCCAGGAGGAACAACGCTGAAACACAGAAGGCTGATCTCTCTCTCTCTTTTTTTTCCCCCAGACATTCTTTTCAGTTCCAACACGCAGCAAGGCTGCATTCAGGAGGCACCCAGACTCCTCCTGTCCCTGGCCTTGCCCTGTTATGGCTGGATTCCTGCACCCCAGCTCTGCTCCCTACAGGATCCCGGATCCGAGACACACCGGAGGCGCGGGCCACAGTCACAGCGCTAGGACAGAGTGGGGACGACATCGCTACATCGAGCAGCCAACCCCCCCCAGAGAATCCCCGGGGGAAAATGGAGAGACCATGAACACCCACTCAGAAAGGAACGCCCTGAGCTGGAATCAAACCCGGGACTCCAGAGCTGTGACACATCCTCAGGTGTTTGGGACACGTGGGAGCTGTTCTTTTGACCCTTATCTACCTCGGTCTTTGCTCTGTTTCCACCCTTTCTGCAGAGTTCAGCACACAGAGCCCAGAGCCCAGAGCCCGTGTGCAGTGCAATCGGATTGCATCACAGGCTCCATGGGCTCCGAGATCAGGCCCTGTAGCTGCGTGTGTGTGTCTCTCTCCCACTCCCTGTGTTGTCTCGGATCATTGGTCACGTGTGTGTGAAATCACTCAGCTCCTCCCCCCACCAGCCTCTGCTTATTCACTCACACACTCCTGCACATACACACAATCCCAACTGCCATGTACACACACACACTCCTATATACACATGCACACGCATGCATTCTTATACACACCCATACACCCACACACCTCCACTCCACAGGGAACATGGGACTTGCTCACACGCACCTACACACACATACATTCCACATCTGCACACACAACCACA